ACGATATCACCAAAGGAAATGCTGCCATCTCCGGCTTAATGATAAACGGCCGCATCATGCTAGTAGACGAGAGCTCAAAAGTAGAGGACATGCGTGCTGCCCCCGATCCCGAGTGTCGTTCCCAGGCTGCCTCCTGCCAAGAGCTGTCCAGGAATCAGCAGCTGGACTGTGGTCGGTGGTGCTTCGGTCGGTCCCCCGTCCTCTTCTCCCTCTACCTACCTTGTCTCCGTCGTCAGTCCTGTCTTGTCTCACCCCTACCAGCAATATCTCTTTTTGCGTGTGCTGTTTGTGCGCATGCCGGTTCTTATCTTGTCCAGTTAAGTTTTGAAACGCATAGCGTCGCCGCAGTGATTTCGGTATGCCAGTTGCGAAGGGGACGCTGGCAGCAACAGAGCTGCTAAACTTACGAGATATATTGACCTGTGTAGCAGGGCTCCAAAGTTTCGAAGATAGATTAGCACTCAGTGTCCGAGCGAGTTGACCATGCTCGGTAACCATGTTTGGTTCAAGGGTAACACGCTTGTCTCTCCTGCTGCTGCCACGAGCGCGGACGCAGCGTAGTTTACGAGGGATCGTGGCTCTGGGAACGCGGACGCCGCGTAATCTACAGGGGATCCTGGCCCTGGGAGCGCGGACGTAGCTTAATGTTCAACGGATCGTGGCCCTTGGGTGCGCGGGCGCAGCGTAATTTCCTACGGGTCGTGGCCCTGGGGGGTGCGGATACAGCGTAATGTATTCGGGAACGTTGCCCTTGGGGCGCGGACGCCGTGTAATTCACTATGGATCGCGGCATTGTGAGCGCGGGCGAAGCCTAGCCATGGATCGTGGCCCAGGGGGAGCGGACGCAGCGTAGCTTTCGTTATGGAGTGCGGTCCTGGGAGTTCGGACGCATAACACATTACGATGGATCGTGCCCTTGGGAACGCTGACGCAGCTTAGTTTCCAAGGGATCCTGGCCTTGGGGGGGAGGCAGGCACATACTAATGTACTGGGCAACGTGACCATGGGAACGCGGACGCAGCGTATCTGTTGTCAGTGAGCGCTGCTTTGGGAACGCGGGCGCATAACACATTACGATGGATCCTGGCCTTGGGAACGCGGACGCAGCTTAGTTTACAAAAGGGATCCTGGCCTTGGGGGGGGGGCAGGCACATAGTAATGTACTGGGCAACGTGGCCCTGGGAACGCGGACGCAACGCATTTTTTGTCAGTGAGCGCGGCCCTGGGAACGCGGGCGCAGCGTAGTTTACGAGGGATCGTGGCCCAGGAAGAGCGGACACAACATAATTTGCTATGATCTTGGCTTTGGGAGCGCGGACGCAGCTTCATTTACCATGGGTCGTGGCCCTGGGAGTGCGGGCGCATCATAGTTTCCCATGGATCGTGGACCTGGGGGGGCGGACGCAGTGTAATCTACCAGGAAACGTAGCCTTGGGAACGCGGACGCAGCGTAATTCATTATGGAGTGCGGCATTGGGAGTGGGGACGCAGCGTAGTTTTCGAGGGATCGTTGCCCAGGGAGAGCGGGCGCAACATATTTGACGAGGGATCGTGGCCTAGGGAGAGCGGACGCAGTGTAATTTCTGATGGAACGTGACCTTGGGAGCGCGGACGCAGAAACATTTATACGCGTTCCTTGGTACGTTCCCTGGCGCGTCGCCTGGCACGTTCCCTGGCTCGTTCCGTGGCGCGTCCCGTGGCGGGTCCACCTGGCAAGTCGCGCGACGCGCCCCCTGGCACGTCCCATGGCACGTCCATTGGCACGTTATGTAGCGCGTCCCTTTGGCACGTCCCGCGTTGCGTCCTTATGGCACGTCGCCTGGCGCGTTCCTTGGAACGTTCCGCGGCGCGTCCCCCTGGCATGTCCCCCTGTCAATTAGCTTTGGGGCAGCTACTGTGTGCTCAGGCAGCTCGAGCTCAAGATCCAGATCAGTTCGGTCAGGTCTCGGATGCAAAGGAGGACTCGATCCACAACGCTATGTGCACAGTCTCGGCATGGCACATGACAATTCAACACGGCGCAGCACAGCACAGCCCTTCGCGATACATCGCGATCGATCCACTCAGATTTCAATTGCCCGTCGCTCAATCAGGTGTCTTGAAAACGGGCCAGGAGTAGCTGAGCGTGGCGATCCGATTCGGCCCGATTCGGGACGGTTCGTGGACGATTCGATTCGCTTCTGATACGAGCCGTTTCCTCGATCGATCCCTGTCGCTCGGATCGATGGATCTGAAGCGATCGATTCCGAGGCGATATCTTGACCGATTTCTCGATGGATTGAGAGGCGACTGGATTGATCGATCGATCCGACAGATTTCTGGATCGATTCCCGATCGCTCGGATCGATCGTTCCGACCGATTTCTCGATCGAGTCCAGGGCGTTTGGATTCGCTTCCAGTCGATTCGGTGCAGCTCAGGCCTGCCTGCCTCCATTTGCGCGGCGCGGTAGTGCGCCGCACCGGGTAGGACGCGGCCGGCCCGTTCGCCGTGGAGACCAAGGCCCGCTGCCCCCCCCTCCCTTGTCTCGTTTCGGGAATGGGCGCAGGGGTGGATGGTGGAGGCGGAGGAGGATGCTGGCACAGGAAATGAAGAAAGCGCCGTGCGTCCAGCGGGCCCACGAGAAATAAGTGCATGTCAGCGATCGTCGTGTGCTCGGGTACCTGGACTATCGCAGGCCGTCTGACTCGCACTATCACCAAATGAGGAGGAAGAGCAGGAGGAAACGATGATGATAGTTAATGATAATGGGAGTGAGAGTGATGACGATGATGACGATGGTAATAACGACGACGAGGATGGGGAGTTCTTGAACTGTAATCGCAGTGCAGGCGAAGGCCGCGCGGTGCTTGCCTCGCCACCGCTTCGGCCCAAGCCTAGTTTTGAGGAGGTCGCGTGCTGCCTGGCCCGCCCGCGACCTGGATGCGCCAGGCAGCCCGCGGCGCGGTGCTCCTGGCGTTCCACGTGGGCTCGGCGTGGTTCGGGTACTGTGATATATACGCTGTACATATTGTGTTACTGTGCACAACATGACTGTCGCATAGTGACCGTGCTGTTACATTTTTGCCCAAACCCTTTAGGGCCCTTGAGTCGAGCGCGCCAGCGGTGTGAAGATATTTGTTGTCATTCAAGACTTCGCACTCTTTGATCAGTTCATATTTCTAGCGGAGCCTGGTAAGCCAGGCTCACGCTTCGACCTTCCATATCTCATCGACCTTTCTTCGGATCTGGTCACCAACTCCATAAGCAGCTTTGGTTTCCAAGCATATATCAGCGATTACACAGCAGATATCAGAGGCGATGTTCAAGTCGGTTTCTCGGCAGCCCACACACGACCTCACAGCCGTTTTCATAGACAAGGGCAGCTTCGATCCGTAAGGGTTTCGCCCCCTGCCGCCGGCCTCTGTCTCGGAGAATGGGCCAAGGAAAAGCGAAGACTCGAGGCTTCGGCTTCACCGTGAAGCAGCGTCGGGACTTCATACGGATACGATGGGTACTTGGCAAAACACATGGAAATTGCGAGCCAATTGTTGTACTCGCATATGGTTAGGGGAGGGTTGCAGCCGATTTTCGCCGCACGCCCGGGTGCCCGCGTGCCCGGGGGTGCTCGGGTGCCCGGGTGCCCGGGTGCCCCGGGGGTGCCCCGGGGTGCCCGGGTGCCCGGGCGTGCCCGGGCGTGCCCCGGGGGTGCCCGGGGGCGCCCTATAGCCCAAAAGCCTTGTAGCCCTACAACTCTATAGCCCTACGGCTCATCTATAGCCCAATAGCATAGCCCTATAGCCCAATAACCCCCTAGCCCTACAGCCCTGATTCGGTTTTTTCTCCAGATATTTCCATTTGCTCCCGTTTGCTGTGTCCAAATCCCCCCCCCCGAGTTTGAACATGTTGGAAGTCTCATGTGTCCTGACCGCGCGGAAGTGCGCGAGGGGTTCTCCCAAATCAAAGCACGTGGCAAATACTTTGTGTTTTTGGACCCTGCAGATCCGCGTGAGGGGCGCCACCGGATTTCAGAACTGTTGAGAATCTTTTCTGGGTTTCCGGACCCTGACCCCGCCGATCAGCGTGACGGGTGCCATCGAATTTCAAAAACGTAGCACATCCCATGTGTTTTTGTACCCTGACCCTGCTTATCTGCGTGAGAGGTGCCGCCAGATTTTAGACACGTGGCAGATCCTATTTGTTTTTTCGGCCCTGACCCCGCCGGTCTGCGTGAGGGGTGCTACCGATGTGGAGAAATGCTGCAAATCCCATGTGTTTTCCGACCCTGTCCCCGCCGATCTGCGTGAGGGATGTCACCGGATTTCAACGCGTGACGCATCCCATTGGCTTTTCGACCCTGATCCCGCCGATCTACGTGAGAGGTGCCGCGGAATTTTTAGACGTTGCGAATTCTTTTGGTTTTTCGACCCTGACCCCGCCGATATGCGTGAGGGGTGCCACCAAATTTCAGACATGTGGCAAATCCTGTGTTTTTGGACCGTGGCCCTGCCGATTTGCGTGAGGGGTGACTTTAAGGGTAGCTCTTTGGGATATGTCATATATGATCGGGAGTATAGCTCGCGTGCCGTTGCCTTTGGCTCAAGGCACGCGCGCCCTATTTGCCCGGACACTGCTTGTGTTCGCTATGTGTTGGAAAAATCACAACATCGATCTTATCCGATCTTATCCGTCCATTCCTCCTACTGAACAACTTCAGTACGATACCGGACGCTATTTGCCATCCGTTTCCAATGGAATCGGATGTTATTTGACCTACCATAGTTACTTCAGACTTGGTAGCGGAGCTGGCCGCACTCTCGTTGGTCAGCTCTTGCTCTTCTTATCCTCGCGCTATCCGGCGCGATCTTCGTGACCAACTACCACCCTGCGCCACCACTCCAACTACATTTGCGAATATCAGTTCAAGAGCAAGAAAAACACGAGAGGTACGACGTCTAGACAACAACATTGGTACCATCTACGCTTCATCACTGCGCTATTACCAACCGCTTGGCAACGAGCCAAAAGCGCAGTACCTGAAGCAGAGGCGGGAAGACCCGCAAGATAAAGCGCCTCGAAGACTTGACAAGGCGCTACCCCAGCGCGGCAACGCGCCTGATAACCACCCATATCTTCACAGCCTCGGGCTTGTCATTTTCGCCATCATATGGTTTGCGCTGGGGGCAACAATCGGACACATGCGCCGAGGAGATAACAGCACCGATGGGCAAACACATGGCCCATGCTGGGACCCTCAAGGCAACGTGCCTTTTCCGCGAGTACGTTTATGAGGTCAACGCATGGCTCGACGTCACAAGTGGACGTATGACGCCACAGGCCCAAACAGCCGCCATGCAACGCGGCCTGGGCGGTCTAGCGAGGACACTCGCCATGAGGGTACCACCTGACATTATAAACTACGGTGCGGACATCGATGGTGCCCACACCGACCCAGTAGCCTACATCATGTTCCTTTTAAGCATGAAGTTCGAACGTCTGGAAGATGAGCGCCAGCTCACTTCAGGCACGCATCCCATCGACTTTCATGTGCCTCACGGAGAACGAATCGATGTCACCCTCACTCGGTTCGAGATGGCCCGTCTTGAGGCACAGTCGGTGGGGCTTGACCTTCCCAACTTCCAACTGCTCACTACTATCCTATTCCGCGCCCTAGGCGTTGGCAACCAGCGAGCCATGCAACTCTTACAGCCACTCAACCACCAAATGCCCCGAACACAACAACAGTATGATGAGTTGTTGGAGAGGATGCGTTCGATATGCCATCTGTCAGAACGGTCTCCTGGTAACATGGGATCAGTGTTTGGAAGGGGAAGGCGATCTGGCAGTGGAAAATTCTACACTACCTTAACCACTGAAGCTCAGCCTGGCAACGGGCCCTCGAGCATATGGGCCGACGATCCTGGAGAGTCCACCGCCCTACTAACAGGGGGTCGATCACAACCAAGCTGGGCAACCAGCCCTCCTCCTAGAGAACCTCAACCACACCGCTTTTTATGGGGTGAAGCAAACCCCCTAACCGATGGTGTATCCACCTACCTGGGAGACGACGATTTCGACTCCGGCACTGACACCGATACCATATCATCAGATGGTGTTGAACCTTTAGACTGGTCAGATATCATGCACATGGAAGGTGGCAATCAGCGAGCCGAACACCTGTTCTGGTTATTGCAACAGGCAAAGAGGAGGTGGAGGAGGTTCACACGGAAACCGGTGCGTCGTGTTAGGAGGAGGATAAGATCCTCCATATTATGGAGGATCTTCAAAGGAAAAGGTAAAGGCAAACGGGGTCGTCGTAGGTTAAATGGACGAGGCATCGCGGCCTTCCTCCAGAGGCTCTCAGATGACCAGTATGATGAGATATTTTTCGGGGGAAAAGGCCGTGGTAAAGGCCGTAGAGATACCTCAGGCAAAGGCAAAGGTAGGCGGGGGCACCCGCGAGGTAGAGACGGCCAGATCCTAAAGTGCCAGGAGTGTGATAGTACCGATCATCTGGTAAAAGATTGCCTAGCGAAGGGAAAAGGAAAGGGCAGATCGACCGAAGTCCATTTCGGCTCAAGTGAACCAGTTATTGAATATCTGAGCCTCCAAGATTTTGAGGCCATGGAACATATATTTTTCACTTGGGCCAGCAGCATGGACAATTTGGATGAGCTCGAGGCGTGCGGCCACGGACTGTACGCGTACTACCTCGAGTACCTCCACAGGTTCGTTGTCGGTAATAACGAGCTTACGCCTGTGGAACATGGAACGCTGGGAAACCAGCCTTTATCCTTCTTTGACTGGATGTTCGGTAATCCAGGCAACATCATGGCCTATGAGAGCAGTGAAGAAGATGATGCTGTTCAAGCCTCGCCTTCGGAGGTTGATCGCAACCTTCGACCTCAACCCGACCTTTTGCCTGGAAACAGGCGTACTCTTGTATATCCTCCAAACTACGCTGATCTGATGGAGCTGGAGTCTCAAGCGTTCGTGACGGGCGTGCCAGGGGGCCCATTTTTACCACCTGGCTCGCTTGCCACCGGCGAGTACGGACCGCACGCGCTACTGCAGACCCTCATGAAGATGCACGCTGTATTGGTCGTAGCCTATCCCGAGAGTCAAGAGAGCATCGAAGCTGGCCACCTGACGCAACAAGACACTGATGCCTGTGGCGACTCGGAGTTAGTGCTGGCGGCCCTCACTTTCATTGATAGCGTGCACCCGGAGGACGTGCAGCGACATGTGGTACTCCAGAGGGAGATGGCGCCAGGCCCTTGAAAGGGCCATCTCCATGCGTGGTCAGGCTCTTCCTCCGCCAGGATGGGGTCTCCAGGCGGCGGGATTACGGCCCAACCATGCGGCCATGCGGAATATTGCCGAGCAGCCTGCGCTCGGTAACTTGCCTGAGCCGACTGCCGTGCCGCCTGCGCCGGGACAGCCAAGCGATGCTCAGACGCTGGCAACGCAGGGGGACTTGCCTGTCCTGGCTGGACCGATGACCGTCGTCATCGGCAATCCTA